TTTTTATTAGTTAAACTAGCTATTCCCTAAAATCTATAATAAGAAAATATTTAGATAACTAATATAGTAAATATATTTTCTAATAAGAAGTATTATTAGTATACTATAATATAATAAATAAACTAAACCTTAGTTAGAACTAGAATATACTACTAATATTATATATTTAATATAATTATATAAGATATACTAGAGTATATACTCTAAGAGTATATATAAAGATATTTAATTTATTATTATTTATCTAAGGCTATATATATATTTATATAGGTATATGTCTGCCCGTGTGCCTAGTATGTAACGGGTGCGTGACACCCCACAGAGCGGGCACGGGTACCTTGCTATTCTGTTGTTGATGTTGGGCAGGTCACGGTACCAAAAAAATATATAAGCGACACCGGTGCGATTCGAACGCACGCCCTCGAAAGGATCAGATGAAGAAATTCTGCAGCTCAACCGCTGGCGTTCGAATCTGACGCATTAACCACTCTGCCACGGTGCCTAGTTAGCAGAACGGAGACACCTGGGAAATTAAACCAGGGCTCCGTTATTGACTACTTTTATCCTTGTACAGAAACTCCTGCAAGCCCTCTTATCATCCACTTTACTCGAGCTTCGGGCTAACAACACCACCACCCAGCAGCCTATCAAGCACCAGCATTCGTAGGCTTATTGGCAAGTTATTTTCTGCTTAGCTCCTTGGTTGCCCCTTTGACCTACCTATTCTTTCTAGAGAACAATACTGGCTAATAGATGACGCGTCCTGATTTACTAGATCAATATCTAGTAAACAGTTCTATAACATCTACTACCTTAAAGGCTCTTATATCAATTACGTGGTAACGAGGTGTACCGCGCCAGCCTGATAGACCCTAAGATGTTACTAGGTACGGGTACCTATAAAAGAAATATAAAGTAGGGGGAAAGGAAATTGTAGGATAAGGAGCTCCTCTACCAGAGTTTAGATCTGCAAACCCTGCTTAAATTCAGTCATAATGCGAGTGCCCTAGCGCTGGTGGATGAAAGGTCTTAAGACTGTTCCATCTTTGTTCTACCCTCTGTTTGATACCAGCATCTTGATTGCTTGCTCCCTTACCGGCTTCGTGCAGACTTTGGCGGTCTATGGCCCCCCTTGAGCACGATAAGGTGTGTTGGTACTGTAACACTAGACTTATATATAGTACTTAGCCCAAATTCCCGGTGGTATCAACACCACGCGGATGGTCAACAGCGAATGCTCTATCTAATCAGATATCTACAAGGGAGATCCATCACAAAGGCTCTGTAAGTATTCAACTCTGATAGCTATTACTTAGCTAATTATGGTTCCAGGCTGGATGAACTCCAGAAGCCCCAGGCAGACTCATGGCCACCGCATATTGGGTACCTCAGCTATATTACAGATGACAGAAACCCAGGCTATTGGCGCCCATACGTTGGCCAATCCAATGATCCGCGGAGGCGCATAGGCGAGCATATCAAAGCAATCCAAACTGGTGGGCAGAATACGCTGCGTTATTTCGTTGTTTTTTCAAGCTCCGAGTTCCGTGCTGCCCATTTTATACGACTCTGGACGATAGAAGGAGACAATTTATTGGCGACTTCAAGGGGAGGACAGGAAATCCTCCACAATTTCTAGAAATGGCAATGTGCCGAGTCTTCCATTCATCAATCACACGTACTAAGAGTGGGCTGGATATATTACATGACAGCCACTATATCCTGGCCACGTGACCATGGACAAAAAATAAAAACGACACCGCAGGGGTTCGAACCCTGGCCTCCGAAGAGATTAGCTTTCAAGGCTAACGCATTAGACCACTCTGCCACAGTGCCTTGGTAGGAATTTTCACCTCAGCTGGCATATGTGAGGGAGGAGCTGGGAGAACGCGCTAAATCTCTGTAGCGCTACAAGATACTGAGGAAGTTAACTAGCAAGTGAAGTAACTATTTAACCATTTAAAAACCAACAGCAACAGTGCCATTTCTTCGCTCTCAACTACAACCAAAGAGAGAAGAGAATAATCTGTAACTCTTACCCGGACCAATGTTGGCACTAGTTGGCTGTATCGCCATTGCCACTGCCCTAATAACCCCTCTTTACATACTCTACAAGCCTCCCAAGTTTGTTATCAACTATGCCCAGCGTCGATGGGAGGACGTGTTATGGCATGTTCCGACTTCTAAAAAGATAGTCGCCCTCACAATCGATGACGGGCCGTCGAATTATACGCCAGAGATATTGGAAATTCTGAAATCCAACGACGCAACAGCAACTTTCTTCATCATCGGATCTCATGTCACTCCTGGCCGTGAGGAGATCCT